CTCTGATAATAAACTAGATATAATATAAGCAGTTGAGATTTCTACTTTTCAGAATAGTTATAATCTACTATCTAATGATAGTGATTAGATTCTACTCTACTCTCTTTTAATATGAATATACAATAAAAATAACAAAAAAAGTTTAAAAACTCTTTAAAAATCACATTTATTCAAAATAATGTGAATAGAAACTCAAATTGTATTTATTCTTGTCTTCAAATTATATTTGAATAAAAAGTTGATTTTATACTACTTCAGAAGTCAAATTTTGATGCTGAGTAAAAATATGTCATTTCTTATTCAAGCTATTACTGCTTTCTACCTCAAAAGTCTGAGATAAAGTCAAAAGTAGTAATCTATGAAAGAAAGAGATCAAGATATCAATTTAGTCTAAGATTTAATATTATGTCTGACTCTGATATTCTGATGAATGATATTATAGATAAAGAGAATGAGTTTAATACTATACAGCTTATAAATATCTATAATGAAAAGTTATTGAAGAAAAATAATAACATCTGAACAATTAATACAGAATTTCTGAATATAACTTTATCAAGAAACTCTATAATTGTAGAAGATTTCAATGTATATTATCTCTGATGAAATTCAGAATGCAAAAGAGCAGTAAGAGCTGATAATCTGATTGAATAAATTTTTGAGTATTCAATAGATTTAGTTAACAGATCTGATCAATAAACATTCTTTAGAAAAGATATGAAACAGAAATCTATTATAGATCTAATCTTCATATTATAAAATCTAATGAAAAAAAGACTTGTAAACTGATTTATTAATTCAAATGAGATATCAGAATCAGATTATGAGATTATTCAATTTGATATTAAACTGAGTGAGAAATAAATGAGTGAAAATCCTCTTCTCTCTAATCAGTTTAACTTTGAAAAAGCTGACTGAAAGGCAGTTGAAGAAAGCATAAAACTGTTAAAATCTGAAAGACAGAGTGAGCTATATTGAAATTCTGATCAAGATATCTCAAATGAAATGCTTAAGAATAGAGTGAAGCTCATTACATCTATTATTCTAGCAAGTGTTAAAGACAATATTTTAAAGAGAAAGTCTTCTAAGTATTCAAAATCTTAATGAAATGAGAATATCATATCTAAAAGATAACAATTGGCTACTACTAGAAGAGATTGAAAGAATGATATAATTTCTAATAAAGAGTTCAAAGCTGTCAGAAATAAATATTTTTCAGATATTGAAAGAGTTAAAACAGACTACTAGAATAAATTTCTTGAAGAAGCATAAGAAAAGAAAGTTTTTAAAGCTTTTAACTATACTAAAACAAGAAGTGTAGCAAAACTTTCAATCTTAGAATATAAGTTTCAGAATGAATCATATACAGCAAACTCTTTTGAGAAAAAATATCAAGCTTTTATAAGAACTCTCTTTCAAAACTCATCAGATTCAGATTCAGAGGAAGAGAATATATCACTTCTCAACTATATTAATGAAAATGACTGAGAATGACCTGATCTTACACAAGATGAATTAAAGTCAGCTATCTTCTCAAGTTCAGTTAAAACTGCTGCAGGGCCTGATTCAATTAATTACTTAATTATTCAAAATACATACTTCTACTTAAAGAATGAATATTTTAAGCTCTTTTTCAATCTCTTAAAAAATGAATATCATTCTGAATGCTGAAGAGAAGTCACTGAAGTGATTCTTACAAAACCTAATAAAAAAACCTCAATTTCTAAGTTATATAGAGTAATATCTCTATTAAACTGTCTAGAAAAGGTTTTAGAAAAGATAATAACTACTCAACTATCTTTTATAAGCTCTATTGGTAATTCTCTTTTATTCAGTGAATAAATGAGAGATAGAAAACAATATTCTGCAATTAACACTATTCTCTCAGTTATTCATGATATTTAAATAGCGAAGTATGAACATCTGGTCTCAACTGCAGTTTTTATTAATATAAAAGAAGCATTTGATCATGTTTCAAAGTCAAAGTTAATTCAGACTTTGAAGATGTTAAAACTATCACTTTCTCTAATAAAATGAGTTAACTGTTTTATATCTAAAAGAATCATACAACTTTTCTTTGATGAAATGAAATAAGATAAGACTGAGATAAAAATAGAAGTACTGTAAGAATCTTCAATCTCACTCATTTTATTTGCAATATACACTGCATATTTATTCAAAAATAGAAATATGAGAATAGTGTGATCTCTGAGTTATGTGAATGATATTGATCTAGTCTACAGCTTAAAAACTATCAAAGAGAATTTAAAAGTGATTGAAGAAGCTGCAAAGAAAATCTTTGTTAGAGCAGATATCAATTAAATTCAATTTAATATAAATAAAACTGAGTTAATTCATTTCTTTTCTAGATTCAATGAGAAAGAACTATCTCTAACTCTTTTAAATAGAGAGATTAAACCCAGTGTAAATGTCAAATAATTAGAAGTATGATTAAATTCTAAGTTAAATTTTAAATATCACATTCAACAAAGAACTGTCAAGGCAGAAAGACTATTGAATAACATAATCAGACTATCAAATATATAGAGAGATCTATTCTTCCAGGCTATGAGATAGTTATATATAGCCTGTATTACCTCAGTAGCTGATTATGAAGTTTAAGTTTGATGAAATAATCAAGAGAATTTCACTGAACTCTTTCAAAGTCTGTAAAACAGAGCTTTGAGAAGAATTCTGAGAGCATTCAAATCATCTTCTATTAAAGTAATGAAAATTGAAGCTTCAATTTCTTCTCCTGCTATTAGATTTGAAAAGGCCTGTATGAACTATGCTCTAAGAGTTATAAAGATGAGCTCAAATCATATAATCAGAGAAAGAGTCTCTTCTTCATTTCTATCAATTAAATCTGGAAATGAACTGAATTGAAATAGATTTCTTGATTGAAATGAAAATAATTCTTCAAAGAAAATGTCTTCTCAACTGTACAGACTATGCTCTCTGATTAAAAATCAATTTTCTTCTTTAAATATTGAAAAAGTTGATCATGAGAAGATATCTCTCTGAAGAGAAAAGCTTGAATCTCTTATAGACTTACAAATAAGTGAACTATCTAAAGAGAAAGAATATGAACAGCATTTGAAGAGAATTTCTACAATCAATATAAAAGACTCTATTCTGATTTATTCAGATGACTCAAAAAATGAGAATTTGAATAGATTAGATACAGACATTGCTTATACTGAAGATAATATCAATTTTATCTCAGATTTCTGAAATTTAGGCTGTGAATCTGAAGTCTTTGATGCTGAACTATTTATAATAGTGAAAGCTTTCAAACTCATTGAAATAAAATCTTATAAAAGAGAAAATAGTTTGAAAGAGACATGAATATTCTCTGATAGTCAAGCTGCTTTAAAAAGACTTAGAAATAGTCAGATTCATAATAGTTAAATAAATCTTGAACTGATTTTAAACTCTGTTTTGAAAATTCAAAAGAGAAGAATATCAAAGCTGATAATTCATCTACACTGAGTTCCTGCTCATATGAATATTCATGATAATGAATTGACTGATTCAGCTGTAAAAAAGAGTGCAGAATTAAGCAGATCTATTCAAAAAATTATGTTCTGGTCTTTTATAAAGAGAAAAATAAAAGAATCTTATTTAGATAAGTGAAATGAAAGCTGACAGAAACAAAAGAAGAGTATACATTATTCAAGATTTGAAACAAAACCCAAGTGAAAATCTTGTTCAATTAAATGTAAAAAGAAAATATTCTCATCTATAATACAGCTGAAACTAGGACATAGCTATTTCAAATCTTATATACAAAGATTTGATGATAGATTTGACTCAATAGAATGCTCATTCTGCAATACAAATGAGACTTCTGAGTATATTATAATGCACTGTGCATTATACAATAGTCTCAGAGTCAGATTGAAAGAGAAGTATGATTTAAATCAATTAAATATGAGATTCTTATTCTCAACTGAGACAGGAATTAAATACTTAATAGACTTTCTATCAGAAACTCAAGCAGCTACAAGAAAATGACTAAATTCAGAAATATCTGAATATGAAGAGGAGGAAATCAATCAGATATAGTCTGTTAAAACAGCTATATACTATCTTTTAATAATTTGTTTTGTTACAGTCTCTCTTTACTTTATCTTTTCCTTTCAATTTCTTTCTATCTATCTATTTAATATGTCTATCTTTAAGACTGTGTTCTCTTTTCCTTTGTCATGATATTGTCAAATGATTTCAAAGTATCAGAAGATGTTAAGACACTGCAATTTGTAAACAGTTTTTGTATTCTAAGCTGGAATTTTCTGATTTTGCATATCTAAAATTGATGAATGTATAATAGTTAACTCTACAGATATAGGAAAAACCCTGAGAACTTTTAGTTCTCAGGTAGATGTCATAGTCTCTGACTGCATACATCTATAATTGAAGAATAATAATAATAATAACACAGATTCATCTCACATCTTTCATACAGAAGAGTTACAGTTAACTCTCAATCATTTTCATAAGATTCTTATGTGATCATCATACAGATTCATCTTACAGATGAATCACTCTCTGTGAGATCACTCTTATCAAAGAGAAGTATTTATAAGTTGATCTTTCACTTATTCTTGTAAATTATTGTTCTTTGACACTGTAGAATTGTAGAATTAAGATATCTGCAGTCTGCAATCACTCTTTATAGTTATATAGAAAGATTCAGATCTATAATTCATAATCACTCTTTATTTACTAGAGTAATCTGACTGTTTCACAGAATTACTCACAGTGTAAGTAAACTTCTCTAAAGTAGTATAAATATCTCAGATCTGTCTGTAGAATCTCATCTTCTTTTTTCTTTTTCTGTAACAGCTCTCATTCTCACAAACTGTGAGTATTCTCATTCATTTACAAAGTGTTTTCACTCAGATGATAGAGAGAGAGTGTTTCTAACAATATCTGTGTATTAATTCAAGCACTTTCTAAGAATAAAAATTTTTTCAATTTCAATATCTTTATAAATAATGTCTGATTACTACAGAGCTTCTTGTGAGTGTCTCTACAACTTCTCTGATCACTTTTTACTAACTGATAAAGCAGGAACATTATTACTTATAACAGTATTTTCATCTTTCTTAGCTCTGTCACTGCATCTGATCTTCAGATCAGCAGTCAATTTCATATCTCTCTCAGATCAGTCTCTGACTTCAAGCAGCACAGTTCTGCTTTTTGCTGTAAGTCTCTTTATAAGTAATTTCTTACAGATTCTAGCTGACAGTTCTTACAAAGCTTCTGATATTGTCAGTGTCTTCTGTGATTCTGCAGATCTATGATCACCTTCTCTCTACCTGCATAATCTCTAATCAGGTATATGCAAATATGTCTAGATTCTCTATCAACAGTTCTCGCGCTGCAGCACATTTCTGCAATTTCATTGTTAATGAAAGATGAGTCTCTGAGTACCTGTAAAATTCAGGTAATCAAGACAATGTAAATACTATGAATTTGTAATAAGAGTTGATCTGAGTAGATGAGCTCTCTCTTCACATCTTAATTATTTTCAGGCTGAATACTTTAGCATAACTGAGAAAGTGAACACAGTTTTATAAGAGATATCTGATCATATACACAGATGATCAGTTCTCAAGACTCTGCTGTAACTGTGTACACTCTGATATTTAGCTTCTCTGAAGTCTGTGCATTTCTGACAGTCTTCATGTCAAATGCAATAATTGTCTGTATCATAGATATAATACTCTCTACTTCTTTAAAGAGAAGAATTAATAGTTATGAGAGAATTGAATGTTACAGATATTAAGAATATAAGTATGAATTTTCTTTATTTTTTCTTTATTAATCTCTAAATTGTGTTCACAGCCCTGTTTTTATTTTCTTATTTTTTAGCTTTAATAAGAGTATGATTTCTTCTTCTCTTTGTATATATTATGAACTGTTCATCTCAGTAGAAACTCATTATCTTATAGACTAGAGTTTATAAATAACAGTATTAATATCTTTATTATAATCAGATTCTTAGTGAAGACTGTGTTATTCTAACTTATCAGAATTCACAGTATAAAAGTCATGTCTCAGCTTCTGCAGATATCTTATCTGCTCAGATAATTCTCAAGTGAACTTATTCATTTTATCAGAATACTTTTATCACTGAATCTTGAATCAGAGCTTGTAATCTTACTTTTCTGAGTTAATAATCTCTTTAATCTGATATTCTTTTTCACTCTCTAGTACTTTATGAACAGAGTGATAAGTCACAGAATTCTCTTCTAAGAATTTCTTATATTTACAGAGTAAAGAGACATGAAAAACATTATATATCTATAACTCAGATAACAGTTTCAATCTATAGAACTGTGAGCTAACTTTCTTCATAATCTTACAAGACTCTGTCTGTAAGAGATTCAGCTTCTTACTAGATCTCTATATGATAATATTTTCTAGACTTAGTCAGACTTTATTATCTTTCTTGAAACTCTTTATAATATACTTGAAGTTATAGTATCTCTTCTAATACTCTTAGGTCTTTCTCAAGAATTTATGAACTTTCTTCTGAATATTCTGAATTCTCTCAGCCTGTTCACAGATATCACTATACTCTATAATATACTCTTATAGATTCATCAAGATTATCTGTAAGTAAGTCTCAGTGAGTATCTCAAAGAGAGTTTTATCTGTGCTGACATGCTTTGAGTTATTGTATACAAACTTCATAAGTGATAACTAATACATTCAGTTATTCTGATTATAATTGATAAAGTACTGCAGATACTGTTTTAATATACTCATCAGATGTTCTATCTGATCATCTATCTATTAATAAAAAGTCATGCTTAGATCTCATAAAATCTTCAGTACAGTTATCAGATCAGATCAGAACTCTTCTGTGAAGATTGATTCTCTATCTGAGATAATATTTACAGATAATTCATACAACTGAATCACATTGTGAATAAAGATATAAGTTAAATTCTTTGACTTCAAGTTCTTGTAAGTGAATATAAAGTATGTTATCTTAATGAAGTGATTCACTATCATCAGCACACTGTCAAAGCAGACATTATATATATTCTTGCTTTCAGAGTAGACTGACCGTGTGACCGTGTCTGGGACCAGGACTAGATTTTTTGATAGTCTTATTACCAATTCGACTGATCCCATTACACGGTTTTAACATTAGATAGTAGTCTCATACTGTCTCAGTGAGACTTACTGTCTACTCTTGTCACATTTTTCAAATGAGATCATGATTTTCACTTCTCAATTTAAATTATTTTTATTGCTTTAAATGACTTTAAATCTCATTTGAGTGTTATCAAAAAGCATTACTTTTTAAAAAATTAAAAATAGTCTAAAAAAACCTTAAAATGTCTAAAAATAGTAACTTTATGCCAAGAATGGGACTAAATGGGACCAAATGGGACCACTTTCTCATTGTTTTCAAGTCATGGTTTCATTTTAAGATCTGATATATAGTCACTTTACATGTTTTTTTAATGACTAGTCCCAGCGGGATTCACACCAAGAAATGTATGAGACCAGATCAAATGGGACCAGATTAAATGAGATCAAACGTGAAATTCATGGTCCTGGCGGCCAGTCTATTTCAGAGAGACTTATAAAAGTATTCATTTCTAGCTATTCTTAAGATTTCTATAAGATGAGTAGAGAAGTAAGTTCTTTATATAGTCTGAATCACACTACTTATAAACTCTGATAAATAGTATAAGAATTCACTATCTTCTTTATAAGTTCTTGCATCTTCAGTCAGAAGTATTTTCTTATGAGCAACTCATGAGTTCTAGTATCTATAAAATGATCTACTAGAGAAGAGTCATGATGCCTTTTAATAAGTTCTATGTATAGAAACTTATTCATAGATATATAAATTCAGCTCTCTCTTTATAAGAGATTATTTAAGTCTCTTTAATTCTTTATTTCTATAGAGTTGATCTCTGTTATAAGCAGTTTCTGAATATACTGAGTATATTTATTCTTCAGTTGCAGTTCAGACAATCTGAATAGAAGATCTTATAAAGACTTATACTCTGTTTCTTCTTATATCAGGTCTTTCACAGCACTTCTTAAAGCTTATAAACTCTTCAGATTATAGATACTCTCTTCAAGAATTCTCACAGAGATTCTCAGAGTATTAACTCTCAGTGTTATAGAGAGTAGTTGTACAGGCTTCTCTTCTCTCTTTTTTCTCTTCTCTTATAAGAAATTGAGAGACTCTTCAGTCAATCTCTTTATAACACTTAGTCTAAACATCTTACAAAGCTTTTCTGTCTTCTCTAGTCTCTCTGTATCTGTTATTCTGATCTTCTTAATATAGTCTGATCTGTGAGAGAATCTATTCACTGAGTTCTTAGTTTTCTTGATATATTCTATCTTGAATCAGAACTCACTCAGTCTCTGAGCTCAGTGAATCTGCTACTATAAGAGTTTCTTGATTGAAGTAAACTATTATAAGCTGTTATAATCAGTTCTAACAGTAATCACTATTATGAGATTCTCAAAGTAGTGATACTAGTAACAGAACAATTTCACTATTGTAAGAAGCTTCTGATTATAAATATCATAGTTAATCTCTGCAGATTGCATCTTTTATAAAAAAAAGATCACTGAAACTCAGTTCTTATTTAACTGTAGTTATAAGACTATTTCTGAAATTGTAAAGAAGAAGATATCTGTCTTCAATCTGATTAAAAGTAAGAGATTAAAGTGAAACAGTATCACTGTGTCTGTGAATATCTATTTCAATCTTATAAAGACTCTGTGAGCTTCTGAGATAAGAAAGTTCTTACAGCTCTTTCTTCTTAATAATCTTTTCATTCTCTGTTCATAGAATGACTTCTTCTTATTTTCATTCTTCAGCATATCTGTAAGAGTCAAGAAGATTCTTATAAATTTAAAGATAAACTGTCTATAGAAATTTACAAAGCTCAGAAAGATCTGAATCTCATGAATACTAGTTAACTTCAGTCATGATAGAATAGTCTCAATCTGTGAAGATTTCATCTGAATATCATCTGTGATGATTACATATTTTAAAAAATTAATTCAACAGATACTGAAGTTGCACTTTGTAAGCTTAATATACAGTTCTATCTTATCTAAGATCTTCAACACACTTCATACATACTCAGTGTATTCTTTCTTCTTTGTGAAGTACATCATCACATTATTCAGATATATTATTACAAAGACATTCAGATATACATGAAGTATTTTATTAATGAAAGACTGAAATACTGCAGAGATATTAATCAAACTAAAAGATATTACTAGATATTTAAACAATTTCAGTACAGTTCTAAAGACAGTCTTTCATTCATTCTCAGACTGTATTCACAGCTGTGTATATATATTAATTACATTTAGTTGTATGAATATGACAGCTTCTGTAAGACAGTTAATTACATTCTCAATCAGAGATAGAGAGTAGTGACTCTTTATTATCTTAAAGTTCAGGTTGTAATAGTCTATATATAATCTAAGATCTTTATTCTTCTTCTTTATAAATATCACAGAGGCTCTCACAGAGGTCTGTAAAGATTGAATAAAGTTATTCTTCAGATTCTTCTTTACATAGGTCTGCAAGATCTCTGTCATATAATGAGAGAGTTTATAGATTAATTCTCAGAAGAGTTTCTACTTTTCTATTAAATCTATTATCAGATTCTTCTTACAGTGAGAAGAGAGCTCAGCTGTCTTTACTGAACTAAATATCTCTGTAAGATCTCAGTATTTCTCTAATATCTGAAGCTCAGTTTTCATAACTGTGAAGTTCTCAGATATTTATAAAGTTATTATATAGATGAGCTTGTCTTCTCTAATTAACTCTGCAGTATTAACTAATTCTATCTTTATAAGTAAGTCTGTCAACACTGATCAGAAGTATAAACCTGACTCATAGACAGCTATGTCTATGTATGAATTATGTCTTTAAAGTTATATAAGTCTCAAGTACATATCATCTGTAATGTCTGTGATAATCATAGTTTCTATAAATCTTCTTCAGATTCTAAAGAGATCTTGTAATTTAAAAATAATTCTTATAAGTCTCTCAGCTCTCAGGTCTGAGTTCTTATACTCTGCTTATTATAAGAGCAGATTCTCAGTTTTTATTACTCAGCTCATTCACTCTGCAAGCTTTAGAAACACTACAGTGACCTGAGATTCTGAGTTTATTAATACTTTTTATACTTGTGAGACAGCAGTACTGCAGTGCAGTCTCTTCTTATAAATAAGCATTTTCATCAAAGAAGTAACAGATTCAGATATCAGCTTCAAGATTCTTAAGAAGACTGTTACTGACTCTGTTCATAATTTCTCAAATTTCTATTTAGATTTATTCAGACAGTTTGTACAGAGATATTCTGATTTAGAATAGATAAAATAGAGACTCTTTTTCTTAATCTCTCTATTATATATTCTATTTATAAAAGCTTGTAAAGCTCTCTCTCTCTACTCAGTAGTCAGATACAAATCTCTCTGTATCTTATTATCTTTTTCTAATAAATCTGTTCTCTGTTATTCTGATTCTCATAAGATCAGTTGATAATTCACTTTTTATAGATCTGTGACTCTCACAGTGATCTGTAAGTAATGAATAAGAGTCATCAGTTTCTTCAGAGTTAAGAACTTAGAGTCTTACTTAATAAGCTTGTTCTGCATATTTTTATTCAGTCTCTTTATAAATATTATTCAGATCTTGTTTCAGAGCTCTGTTTTCACAGATCTTAATTCACATCACAATTTCATGAAATGCTGTGAGTAGTCTTTATCAGATTTCTTGTCTCTTTTTCTAATATTGATGATCACAGTTCAGATGTTCTCTGTTCAGCTTATAAAGTCTTTTAACTTATTCTCTAAATAGATCTTAAGAATAGATCAGTGAGATCTCTTGTATTTATTCTTTAAATAATTCAGCCAGTTCTTGACTTCAGTGTAGTAGAGACTTGTTATTATATAAATAACAGCTTCTTCATCTTTTATATTACATAGTCAGACTTGTAAGTTAATTTCAAATACAAACTTATAAAAGCTTTTATAGATTATAGTTTGATAAGTAATCTTAAGTAATTACAGCTTAAGAAAGTTTCTTTTCAGTTTA